CAAATTAACCTTGCCTAAACCCAACCAATAACACAATATAGAACCTTAATAAACCCTTAAACAAACCAAATTGTTTACCTAAACATACCACAAACCCAAACTGCACCCTTCTCCATTACCACATTCCGCACCCACTCAGAGTATTACCTCTTTGGCAGCCACCATGGTAGCCCAGTCATCACCAATAACTCCACGACTTGCCACCTTACCTACTACCACCTATATTCCCTTATTCACCCAACAAAAAAACAAAAAAACTGTTGTTTCCTTCCAAGGCACACTTGAAGAAAGATTGGCCAAACACGAAAAGAAGGATAACCTACCTCCAAAATCTCATATCTAGGAAACCTTAGGCATGAAAAGCCTATGTTGCGCAGGATTTGTCCTTCATGATTTCAAAATTAAGTACAAGGGACAAGGAGACCTTGGACTCTATATAGAGAGTTTCTTAATGGTCCCAAGAGAATGAAACCAACCTTCACCTGTAGTCTAGAAGGTGAACCTCATTCATAGCACTACCAACAGATGAATGATATCATCGTCGACCGTGATGGGATGTTCTAATGCTTTGACCAGCACTACAAGAACAATGCACTGCATCTGACAACACTGTCAAAAATTTCCTAGCTCAAGCAAAAGACTAAGGAATTTATTATCAACCAGGATTCTCAACTAAGAGATCATGCCAAGATCAGTTTGATCCTTCAGGGGGTCAATTGTGAATACAGGCATCTCATCCTTCGAGGAGGACTCCTAACGTCCCTCGGTTCAATAATTCAAGATCTCATTATACGAAAAGATAGATTCCCCCATGAACACGTGATAAGAAGATCCATGAGATAGTTGAACTTATGCAAACGCAACCAATAGAGCCAAAGACTACATTCGTCACTAATCCCAGTTAGATCGACATCACCAAATCCTTGCCAGAAGCAAACCAATTCGGAATGTCCAAGGGCTCGAATACTACAAAAACTCAGCTAGGAAAACTCTCCAAGCTTTATATTCAAGTAAGAGGAAAGATATTAATTGCAAGTTTATCCCCATCAAAGAGCTTATGGAACATGTCCCTAAGCTTCTACTTGATCGCAGACTAATGAACCTTCCAGAGAATCTTGCTTCTCTTGCCTATGACGTCAAAGACAAAAGTAAGTCGTACCACTGACACTAAAACCATTCCCAATTACAAAAAACTATATTCGCAAAGTGATCCAAAACCTCATCGACAACAAGAAGGTTACAGTGAGAGGAGAAGAGCAAAAGAATGTCTAATTGCATATTTAGAAGTTAGGGATCTTCAACAACCCCCCCAGAGCATGTCTCTAACCCAATACATCAAGCAGCACCTATTGTCATGACAATATCCCAACCTACAGAGCATCAAAGCCACACAATCCTTAACATGGTGAAGCAAGAAGAAATCATCCAACCAAATCCCATTATCATATCACCCATAAAGATCACTTGCAAGAGGATAACGAAGATATCGTCATAAAAATCTTAGTGTCATAGAGCTCCCCTAAACCCCAAGAGGAAGAGATAATCTCAACAACTTCTCTCTTCATATGAAGTGAGGATCCTGATATCCTTTCTTCACTAGCGCCTCTAATAATCATTTACTAGCAGCACTCAACCTTGCCCTTGTGTTTCTCCTCTTTAATGACTCTTTGAGCTCCTTCACTCGGCAAGAATAAGTCTATAAATCAATGAAGGTCATTGCTAATATTATTCAAGAAAGAACAGGCCAGCCCACCCAAGCGGTTCAATGGTCCTCTAAGATGCCATCAAAGTACAATTTATCCAAACACTTAAGTTGGATTCAAGTTCCTATCTATCATTGAATTGTTAACTAGCTCATAGTTCATAGGAAGTAGATAGAGAAGACCATGTGTAAGAACACATGTTCTAGCATATACAATACAAAGTAAGTCTAGCATGATTAGTCAACTTATTGCAATCGATTACCTTCAATGATGATGACATTCATGCACATACATTCATGTTTTCATAATTATTCCCTCCACATCACAGTGCACATGCCATGATGCACCACTCAACGTATGATGGCAGGTCAACAATAGGGCAGCACTTCATCCCTGCCCTTCATGATACTAGACAAGCTTAACATCAATAAGGAAATGTTGGAGCCATTCAACCTTCCCATTGCAGCTTATGAAAACACAAGATGACATGCTATCATAATGTTGCCTCTCACCAGCCTATGATTCAACAGGTATGCTCTTATGTTTCTGATGTTGAAGACTCCTTGAATCTTTTGTAGGGGCGATCTTGGCTCCACAATAAGCTAGCTATCCCTCGACTCTACACTAATACCTTAAGTTTCCTACTCCAAAGTGATTGGTTGGAGTCCCTTTGGAATTCATCTTTATGGATATGGAAGGAAGAACCAAGTTAAAAGAGTACGAAGAGAACAAGGAATCAAGTGAAGTTCCTTCCCTCTCTTCACGAGAGCCATATTGTGTCATGATCTCCTACGAGAGCAATCCATTTATCATGGCCACCTCGTACTAGATGAGGTAGCCATTGATTTTCAATTTTTTAGGAATGCGGATCTTCTAATGCTTCAAAATGGTTATTTCCCAAGATTTCGTCCGAGATAATGGCCTATGTCGGGAGTGTCAAGGGGCAGTCATGTCCATTCCCTTCTCTCATTATACTAAGATGGAGTGTCATGATCACTGAGTGTAGGATGTGAATGATCCTATTTGGAAATAAACCAAGGGAATCCTCAACCCTTGTTTGCTTTTGGAGGTATTCAAGACCTCTCTGATGTGGCAACTTCCTTTCAACCTGACGAGAGAAAGACTTCCCTTGTTCTTTCAGTGGTTTCACTGTCATCCACTTATGCACTTCTTTCCCATCACCCAACTAAGCAGATTGATAGTTTTGAAAAACAAATTTCTAAACTATGGGGTCTACATGTTCAGGTCCTCCGAGAATAACTACGTAATTTCTCAAGTATTTTTTAAAACACCCCGTTTTACTATCATCCTGTTATCCATTGAAGCCTTGGTTGACCATGAGAGTTACCTACTCGTCCAAGATCCAAAAAACAAGTAGGTGTGGGGCACAAAGTGTTGCGTCCTGCTCAAAGCCTCAACAACCAGCCCAAATCTCAAGTCAATACAAAATAACTTTCAAAAACATAAAAACAATAAAAAGATATAGGATAGCCTAACCCACTTTTTTGAGAAATAAGGCCCACAAACCCCCAAACCTTCCTAATGAGAGGAGCCTAATCCCCACCGATGAGAGTCTTCAAGAGCGAGAACCTAATGAGAGATGGATCATGAAGAACTGTTGATCCAAGTGGAGAGGTTTAAGCGAAAGCTGGAATGGAAGTCTACAGCTACAATTGAGGAAACAATTTATGTCAACCTAGGAACAGGGGAGGAACCTAAGATGACCAAGTTCAAATCCTCACTATCTTCCAATGTGCATGAGCATATGGTTGCTTTTCTTAAGGAGCACCAAGAAACTTTAGCATGGTCATACAATGACCTTAACCTCGCTAAGAACTACTTGATCCTTTAATCCAATGCCAAACCAATTCAACAACGTCTGCACAAGCAAGCACTTCACTTCATTCTCAAAAGCAAAGAAATTGATCAGCTATTCAAGAGCTAGATTCATTTTACCAGTTGACTGCTTTGAATGGCTTCCAAAATGATCATAATTCCAAAGAAATAGGATGTGTGCAAGTGTGTTGACTATCAGGATATGAATAACGCATGCTTAAAGAAAATTTTCATTTGTCAAATACAGATATGTAGGCCAAGAATACAACTGAGCATGAGGTATTCCTTTATGGATGGCTTCTCAGGTTACAATTAGATAAATATGGCTATTGGAGACTAACGAAAGACCGCATTCACCAGGGATTTACTATTACCAAGTCATGTCATTATCGATCCATGACCATGGTCTTCCAGGGCATGTTGCCTGATAATATAGAAGACTTTAAAGTCAAAAACAAGAAAAAAACACATTCTATATCTCCAATGAGTGTTCGTGAAGCTTTGAGAATATTAATTAAAGCTCAATTCCCAGAAGTATGCCTTTAGTATTGAATCTGATAAAGCTGCTAGCTTTCATCATCAGTCACTGGGTAATCAAAGCATATCTCTTATTAAGATAAAGGCAATTATAAAAGTGTGATCCCCTGCCAATATCCAACAAATTAGGGGACTTTAGCATAGAATTCAAGCACTTCATCTCTCAACTTGCAAATAAATGTGTGCCATTTAATCGTCTCCTTAGAAGGATGTTCCATTCATATGGAACCAGGATTGTCAAAAGGCCTTTGATAAGAAAAAAGATAAACTTAACGTGCCAGTCCTAGGCCCTCCAATCCAAGATCGCCTTATGTTCCTTCAAATCTCCATCATGGAGAAGACCATAAGGCCAATGTTGGGGCAATATGATGATGAAGAAAGAGAATGCACAATCTACTAAGTACTACCATAGATTATGACACCCCATATATATAAATATTAAGCAGCACTGCTTAGCGGCAGCTTAGCACTTATATGGGCAACTCAAAAGTTGCGGACTAAATGTCCATCAAGCTCATCTCTAAAATGGATCCTCTAAAATATATAAAGCAGTTCTTAATGCTTACCTATTCAATTGGCGACGCATGCTGAGTGAGTTTGACATTCAATATGTGATACAAAAGTCTATCAAGGGGCACACTACAGCCGATCATCTTGCCAAGCATGCAGTCCCAGAACGTACTGGGAGAATCTTTACAATAATAAATATTAAGGTGACATCAAGTGTAAATTTCTCGATAATAAATATGAGGATGATGATTAAGTGATGCAAGTTACCTAGTATAAAGCTACTTGTCTCAATAGTTTAGGAAGGATTTAAGGTTTGAATTTTGTAAATACCAACCTAAACGAAATAATCTAATGAGAAACATAATTAAAGATTACCTTAATTATTGAAGGGATTTCTTCCCATACTATCAACACTGAAGGGGAACAAAGCAAGCCATTTTGTACTAATGGTGGTGATAACTCTCAAATTTCCTCTAACAAAAATAAATCATGAATTCCCGCTAAGCAAAATAAATCATGTACTTATGCAGAATCCCAACTAGCAAGCACTCAAATAAAACTTAAAAAAGGAAACAATAGCATTAAGCCTGGACGACAGATTTACAAACAAGGTCAAAGTTGTGGGCTACAAATGGGACCACATCATTTAACTTTTGCAACTTTTCTTTGTTCGATTTGGCCTGTCTGAGGGCATTGCATCTCTATCCAACTGATAGGTATCATAGTTGCACCTGCAAAAACCCAATAAACAAACTTAAATAAGTGATCAGTAAAAATGGATGTAGTAAAACATATATTGCTACACATCATCTTTCAATGCCCTCCCTTTATGGAGTTATAAAATCAGTTTAGCCAAACACCAAACCATTTTGTAGGGCTACGAATCCGGTATGGTTCAAATAAAAAATAACTAGAATTGCACACCAGTGACATTCATTCAAAGTACAGGTGTCCAAGCTCTCAAAACATATTACTAGCGATGAAGCACCCTTGAAAACCACATGATCTATTTTTAGCAGAGTTAATGTTTGACCAAAATACTACCCAAGAAAACTTGACAAGAGCGGATCATGTACAAAATAGCTCAAGAGATTGAAAAATAAATAAATAACTAAACAAAATTGAGCAGATAATCACATTTAGGAGATTCATTGTCCTCTTGCAGGGCAAGCCATAACTCTCTCTGGTGCAATTTTGTCTTCTGAGAGTCTAAGCATGAGAATGCATGGCACATCCACAAGAATTAACTAATGTTCACATTTATGAAAGTGAACATCCTTGATTAGCAGTCATACATGGATGCATGTTACATGAAGGCATGTCAGAACATGTACACTGAGGATGCATATTGACTCAACTGTTTTCTTCCTTATATTGAAGTACACAGTATAATCTTCAAGCTACTGCATAAAGCTAGAAGGTGAAAAACATCTCTCTCTCTCTCCATAGAGACAGATTCTTGCCGAATAAGAAAACTCAGGCAAGTCGACTAGGACTCGCCTAAGTCACTCAACCTCAGCAGGCTGCTAAGTGCGAAACACGCACAACTCGAGGTATACATATTTGTAACTAATTAATATATTAATAATTGATTCAATCTTGGACTAAATCAATTCTAATTAATTTATAATTAACTTTCTATATACTTTTGATGATTTTATGATTTTTAATGATTCTTCTCTTGTTCAACACTTGTTTTGAGAATTTTTTTGAGAAAATGATCACCGACCTATTTTTTCTACTTTTTGGAAACTTTTTTATCACCTTTTATATACTTTTTGTGTTATTTCTAGTTTTTCTTCCTGACTTTTACCAATTTTCATGATTTCTACCAATTTTAAATTTCATTGGATTTTTGGGAAGCTCATTGCGGGGACTCAGGTGCGTCGACACGAACTCGCCCGAGTCACGTTGTGTAGGTGCATCATTCAATCGGTGCTCGATCCACCTAACAACAGGTTCTGGGAAAGCTAGTTGAAATAACAATTCTTATCGCGAAAAATAAAGAGAACTTTTCCAAGCTCCGCATCCGAACCATGATTTCTTTCATTAAGTGTTTCATAATGGCATTTGAAGCATACAAATATACGTGTTTGAAAGCATGCCTCCATGCCATAGCAGAAGATTCAATATTAAAATAAATTCCTGAATCTTTGCTTTCAGATTGAAGATCCAAGGATCCAATATAGTGTCTATCATGACTGCTATGCCAACCATATACCATATTGGAAGACCACAGTCAATTGTCAGTGTTAACAAAAGCAAAACACCAAATGCCTCAGTGGCATATGACAGATCTTTTCTCCACTCTGCCTGGACCAATTGTGGGAACAACCCAGCTACTCTACTATGATCAATTGTCCCAGAGCATGAAAAAGTTCTTAAATAGCCTTTCCACATGCTCAAATAAACTCTTTGGGATTCATTGGCAAAGGTAATACCAGATCAAAATTCGATGATCACCAAGAATTGCAGACATTAGAAGACAATACATGTGAAAAATATAAGCAGAAAAAATTTAGGAAGTTTTTCACCAACATTTAATATATTGTACAAATAACCATCCATTATTTCTCTATTGAACTCCCTAGTGATGTCCTGAATGCAAAATGTGGTTCATACAAACCTGCAAGTCACATAAATGATCATGGCAAAGAACAAAAATGTTGGTGCAAAACTTTTTGTGTTTTCAGGAAGGGGCTATTTCAGCAATGAACACCCGATATGGTTAGGCCATGTTCAGGAAGATGCTATTTCAGCAATGCAGACCAGATATGTTTAGGGATGTTAATGTGGTCAAAACACCACGGATTGCAACATCTTTTCAAATTTGGTAGGTGTGAGGATCCACTCAGCCCATGTCTTACAATAGGAAAGAAAAGATCTCCTGAGGTCTTTTCATTCCTATTGTACTTTTTGCAGTGGAGCTCTGCATTCACAGAAAAAGAGGGGGCATTGATGCAGCCCAAAATAAGAGGCATTAACATTCAGTAAAGAGACCAATTTCTGATCAATCAGCTAAAACACAAAGACAGAAACCTAAGTTCTACAAAATAAGAGAGTAAAATCTAAGGTCCCATAGGCTATTCTTACTGGGCACTTGCAAAAGATACTTGCAGAGAACAATTCACATTCTAGATATTCCACTACGATGTTGGTACAATACATTCAGCCTAATATGGGGTGAAAGGCATTAGCCTCATAATACGACATAACTACAAAACCTTAGAACTGTACTGAACCAACCGCACTGTTGAGTATGAGCAATGGCTATATGCGAAACACAAATCAAAATTATGTTCTATGGCTTTAGAAGAACTCAAAACCAGTCCATAATATCCATTATATTTATCATTCAATGAACAACAAAAATATTGAGCTCAATGTCTAAGCATACCCATCATCAAACGTCATTTGTGACCAAACCATAACTAAAATCAAGGCATTTCCAGAAATGACACATGTTAAGCTCAACATTATTGAAAAAGAGACAAGGAAGCTTATTCATGTTGGTGCATCATGAGAAATTATTTTTAGCATATGCTGCAGGCATTAGGAAATTTACAAGACCATTTCAGGAGTTGAGTTCTCAACTATGCATAGGGCTCCACAGAAAATCTAATAAATACAAACTCATACCTGCGGCACTTTGTGCAGATACGACTCCCAGTTCATTCTTTGCAGTTGAAAGATAATAAGCCCTTGCATCCCCAAGAGATAGCTAATAGAAGGAAATGAGTTATATTTAACAACACATGCTTAAAGAATATACAGTACCCAGCTAAAATAATCAGCAGAAGATATGGTCACATGGACATTAAACATACATAGTACAGATATAGATGAAATTTGAAAGCTTCTCATACTCATGTTTCCTTGGTAGAATAAATGATGTCAATTTTAAACGAGTAAAAATTATTGAGTTGCAGGTCAAGCAAGTTCAAATAATCTGTGTGCAATCCAAGTGAAACAGCTCTTGTGTTTTCTAAAACAAATATAAAAAAAAATTAAGGAAAATGAAAGGTGCCGACCCCAAATAATTGTTGAGGCTTGAATGATGATGAAAGAAGGTAAAACCTGAAACTGCTAAGAAAAAGTTCAATTACAGTATTCAAGAGACCACTGTAACTCTTAAAATGAACTAAAGAAGGAGATATTCATAAATTACCACTTGACAATACAAACATAAAAAATAAATGAAAATAAACCAAAATGCAGCCAAAGAGATGAGCTATTTATATCATCAGTTTCTTTTGACTTAATTTCAAGAAACTCATCAAATGACACATAATCATGGGTCAGAACACTTGATATTTTAGGTTTGGCATGATAGATTTCCCAAAAATAAACAGTCCATCTGGTAAAGAACCATATCAATGAACTAAAGAATAGTAAGGCATGGTTTAAGATGTCACAGCAATTAGTTTCCAGAACCACTATCATAAGTCACAGTTCTTGTAATTAAGACGCACTGTGACTTGAATAGTAATCAGCAAATTCTCATGTAATATTTAGACTTAAATGGAAAAGATTTGGCTGTAAGATTTTGGATTTCTCACAGTATCTGCCATTGCAAAGTCAATATATTGCCAAGCTAAATTTATATTCAGACCAATGCCAAGTTAAATCATATAAAAAAGGTAGGCAGGCCTTGAATAATTAGTACATCAGAAAACCCTAAGATCAAGCAGCATGGTATATTTACAAAATTTGCAGATCTCCCTTAGCAGTAAAAACGCCTTGACGGGAATTAATGTGGCCCTAACTATGCCCATCCATTATTTAAAAAACTATTAGATGGAATACCTAAAAATTGGTCCAGCAATAACGACAAAAGAAATAGCTTAGCTCCAATGTGAAAAAGGATAATGGTGTGGTGGACCCTAGGGTTGCTACTTTACAGTAGACAAGAATGATCAATTGATTCAGACGATAAATAAATTGTTAGGCAAGCACCAGCACACACAAACATTCAAATACTGTAACCAATGATAAGGTGCCTTGTCCCTTGTGAATGTTCTCCTGGCACAATACTGGGATAGAAATATATTTGACACTTACAAGCTTGAGAACTTTAAAGTAGCAATGTAGTAATCTACTAACATTTATAGAATAAACACCATAATATGTCATGATGAAGACAGATTATATGAAACCAACATAAGTTATGCAAGGCATAACAACTTGATCTGTAGACGAAGGTACTATATCCTTTCAAGAATGAAGGGAAAAGAAGTATTCATCCCAATTGATTTCATAGAGATTTTTAATTTAGATGTTACTTGAGATTTTGGTGCGGCCCCCTCCCCGATAACTCATTAACAAGGGTTTAAATCACCAATATGAACTCAGTGTCAAATGAAGTGGAACTAGTGTCTCCTAGGATCAAATATGCAGAACATAAAATCAATAGTAATAATGAAAATTCCATCAGTCATATACGTCTAAATACAGGGCAAAAAGCATTGAAAAGGTATATCTCATGCATAACAAAGGATACAACCATTGCTCTAACGATGTCCCCAGGACGAAAAGACAAGTGCATGTCAACTTTATCTATCTCTGTTGCTCGGACATCTTGCTGCCTGCCAAAAGGAAAATTAGAGTTAAACGGATCCATTCTCAAATATTACTAGGTGGAGTCACAAATAATAAAGCATTAAAGTACTAAAAAGTCTTCAATCATTTTTGTGCCAATCAAGATGCCACACAAGGGAATTTCACATGACGTTCTAAATCCTAATGGATGAGGCAAAGAGCTCCATACATTAGACTATAATACTCAAACTCATAAAAGATTTTTTATCAATAGAAGGAAAACTGCTGAACATTCTGATCAGATCAAATAGGAAGAGAAGAATGCAGAAAATTTCAAAAACTCACGTCCAAAATTATACTAAGAAATATAATAAGAAAAATGCCAACAAATAGCCAAGCCAAAAGGACAGTGAAGACCGAAATTCACAACAAAGATCTCTATGTATCATAAAAACTAGAGAACCAGGTTCTAGATGCCTGCTTCAGCCCATATAGATCTCTTTAACTTAAAAACATATCCAACTGGGTTTGCTGCATTGAACCCAGGTGGTTGTTCCATTTATACTTATTTAATTCTCCATGCAAGAAAGCATTTTTAACATCCGATTGATAAAGTGTCCAATCATGCATGAGAGCAAGGGATATAACAACCCTTTACTGTACAATTTTAACAACTGGACTAAAGGTTTCCTTGTAATCCAAGCCATGTTGTTGGTTAAATCCTCTTGCCACAAGTTTTTCCTTAAACCTTTCAATGCTCGCGTTAGTTTTATATTTCACTTTGTATACCCAATTACATTTCGTCACTTTCTTACATTTCGTCACTTTCTTGCCTCTCGGCCTGCGTACAATGCACCAGGTACAGTTAACATGCATGGCTTGTATCTCTTCAACCATGGTTCTAACTCACCTCTCATCTCTTCTAGTTTCAAAGAGGTCAAGGCGGTAGCACCACCTATGACTTAGCTACCGGACTTAGATTACATTCCTACCAATGCTAACTCCTTTTAAAAACTACTACTGGTTTCAAAAAATTGCTAACCCAATACTAACAGTTAACGTCCAAAAAAACAAAAATTGTGTTCTTTTATCTTCGCCATTTCACCCATAAAAACCTAGAAACATGAGTGAAACTTCCACAGCTGAGCCATCTATCAATAGGATGTTTCACTCTTGCTGCACATTCTCATGCTATCTTTAGGGTGTTGGAAATCTTGTAAAAGTGCTTGTAAATTATGAGGTTGTTGTCCAATTATTGATCTTCTTTCATATACAATTTACATATTCGCTGATTAGTTTTGTACTTCTTCATTGGCATTATAGAAGTGTCAGATATCTTCTTGGGGTCATATGGTGCATCTTCTCCTTGTTGGGTTTTTGTGGGCATTTAAAGGCCTTATGAGAGCATGTACTGAAAATATATAATGAATTATTGACTCTAGTAGGAGTATGGTCCAGCTTGGACTGTAGGGCATTAACAATGCCTTAGACTCACATAAGTTTTGGTTGGCTATGACTCAATGTGTAGTCCAAAATATGTAGTTCTGGGTATCATGTTAGCACAACCGATAAGAGTTTCGATGTGAGGTTATCCCTAGATGAGGTCATAAGATGTGCCCAGGACAGTTGGCCAGGGGACATGGATTTGACCCATGTGTGTAATAGCCAGCCTGAAAGGACAAGGGCCTAAATCCATATCATTACCATCACACGACATGTACACTAGATAGCTGTCTGAGAAACGTGCAGAAGAGATGACTCCATGCAATATTGAACTGTGTTGGAAGGACCCATGGAGCATACTGTTGAAATGGGCCATGGACTGATCCTCAGGGAGGGACCTGTAATCCATGGTCAAGGATCGTATCTTCTCCACTTATTGGCTGACTTTGATGGTCCAATCATGAATCCTTATGATGGGTCGTGGGTTCATGAGATCGATTGGATCAATTTGAGAAGGTGCAATGAGATGCGGTCTCTAGAGAGGATGGAGTCCTCAGTATTTTTGACGTAATCCTAACTCTATGCATCCAATTCCCATCAAATCTTCTTTAATATGTTTAAATAAGTCTTAATTATTTTATATATGATTAAAATGGAGTTTTAGACCTCTTTGGGTATTTTATTTTATTGAAAAATGATTTTTACTTGAGGAGAAATTAATTTTCTAGATTTATTTTAATCAGAGAGAAAAATAAAATATTTGGAGGTTTTATAAAATTTGTTTTAATATTTAAAAATTAATATTAAGGTATTTAGGGCCCAATGGGTCCACCAATGTGTGGGGCTTGGGGCCCACATGGACACCATATGGGTGGTGCGCCCCACCCCATGCAAGCTTTCCTTATTGTTTCATGTGCCTTCTAAGGCATGTGTTATTTTAAAGTATTGGAAAGCTAAGTTATAGAGATTTGAATTGAAACTAGATAGGAAAGTGTAAGATATCAAATAGTATATGTTAAATACTGTCTCTACACAAAATATTTGATGAGAATGGAGTTATGGAAACTGAGAGATAAGGTTCCACATCATTCCTTTAATCATGATGGTTGAGCTCTTTTCACCCCATAGGTCTCCAAGATCAAAAGTTAAGATTAAACCTCATAATGATGGCAAAACCCTAACCATAGAAACCCTGGTCTCTTTTTAAATAATATTAGCTATGGGGGTTCTATTTTAAATCTATCTATCTCTCTCCACACAACGAAAGGGGGCACACCCCACTCTAGGCTTCTCTCTCTTCTTTCTCTCATAAAAAATTAGGGTTTAGGAAGGTTAACCCTAAGGGGTGACACGCCCAAGCCACACAAGCCCTGGCCCTAGGTTCTTGCCTCATGCTAATGTGTTGAGCCTTGGTCAAGGAAATCCCATATGAAGCTCTCTAAGGGTGTTGCCTAAACTTTCCTTAACTGTGAAGTGTGTTCTTGAACTAAGATCCTGTGCACCATAGGTGGAGGAGACCCGGTTTGGGGTGTACGAAGTCCTTGGAGGTAACCTGAGGTAAGGTACCAGTTGTTTCATGATTTCGTGCTTTTGTTGTTTCTTTTGCTTTCTTATGTAATTTTCAGTTCTACATGATGAATGTATGGCATGCAAGTGAGAGGTCTTGGCCATTTCATTAAGCCAAAATTGTATTTTGGACACTTGTAAGTGCTTCGGGTGGCAATATGTATAAAAGAGTGGAAAAATTTTAATTGCTATTGACTTGCCCGGTCACATAGTCCACCTTTCACTCCTAGTTTAGTCATGTCTCCATCTGCCCTTGTAGTTTCAGCATCATCTCCTATATGTTCTGCATCATTTATCTTCTTATTTTGGTGTTTTTATACATAGCTCTGGAATTTTCCAACTATGACAAGCTAGTGATTAGCTGTGTCATCTTGAATTTTATTTCCTTTAAAACCGGCATCACTTGTAAACATTTCCTTTGGAGGATTCCATAAGTGCCTTTCATCCAAAACGAAATGCCTGCAAATTAATATTCATTTCAATCTATAAATCTTTTATATTCAACAACATAGCCAACAAATACGTGGAGGGCTTACTTCTTTGGTCACTAGTATATATGGATAGCATCCAAGGAGCTTCAACATAGAATAATCTGGATGTTTTTACCAAAAAAGTACTCTATAGGGGTTGATCCCATTAAGAGCACTTGATGGAAGTCCATTAATGAGGTATACAATTGTGTGAAATGCCTCGTTCCATAAGTACTTGGGAACACCACTAGAAAGCATGAGACAATGCTAGCTCATTAATATGCCAATTCTTTCTCTCAGCAACTCCATTTTGGGTAGTGTGTGGACAAGATCTATTGCTCTATCCCATGATCCTTTAAGTTGTTTTTGAAAGCATGGGACGACTAATCTCCCCCTCCATCACTACGAAAAAATAAAATTGGTTTTTGCTAATGTTTTCAACAAATGACCTGAACTTCATGAACACCCAGAATACATCAGATTTGTTTTTAAGAAAAAACACCCATGTATAATGCAAGTAATCATCAATGAACTTAACATAATAATAAGAACGAGGAGAAGAAAAAACAAGTGCAGGACCTCACACATAAGACAGAATTAACTCAAACAGTGAAGAAGCTCTTTTATTACTTAAAGAAAAGGGAAGTTCTGAACTTTTGCCCAACTGACATCCCTAACAAATAAATTGACTAAGACATTTGAGGGTACAACACCCTCATTATAAAGTTTAATGAATGATTCCTTAATTATAATGAACCAAATGATGATGCTATAATTGACATCTTTATTTAGACTCGAGACCAACATCGGATGCCTCTTTGCAAGGCAATTTATCAAATATAATTGTCCACAATAAGTTCTCTTAGCTTACATGATTCCCGATTGTTGTTCATTCAAGAAAGTAAAATCTGGAGTAAATAGATAGTAAATTCCATTATCACGCTCTAGTTGGGAAACATAAATCATACTACTATATCAGTGAACAAGACCAAAAGAAGACTCAACTGTGACATTACCTACATGTTTAACGTTGAGGACCCATCATCTGTTGTAATAGTAAGACTATCAAGGGGAGAAACCATACCAGGATTTCTATATACACATGGTTGGCAGCCCCACCATCCACAATCCATGCTCCATTAGTAGAAGTAATGGCAAGAGATTCCATTGCATTATTTAATGTTGCAGCCGTACTCTCAGTGTTGGCCAAGACAGTAATTTGATTTCCTACTTGATTAATTTCACTGTCATCCTTGTATCCGTCAAAACAATTGCTAGCTAAATGCCCTCTTCCGCATATTTGACAGATGACTCTCTTTCCATTCCCATTAGGAGTAGGCAAGAGACTTTGACCAACATCATAGAAGTTTCTGCCACCATGCCCAACTCTGCCACCTCGACCCCCACGACCTATGTTTTTTCACCGAAAGCTATTGAAATTTTGAGCAGCATTGCTCTTGTGAGTAACAAGGATATCGTGGTCTCATTTCTGGGAGACAAGTTTTGAGCCTCTTTTCGAAAGAACAATGCCTCATGTTGTAGCAACATTGGCCGAAGGTTGGCAACCA